GTGTGTGTGTGTGTGTGTGTGTGTGTGTGTGTGTGTGTGTGTGTGAGGAAGTCTGTCACGACTGAACACACACACTCTGTCTCTTCCTGCCTGCTTCACATGTAAAACACAGGCCTCGTTAACGTCGACCACATGAGCTTTCATGTTCAAGCAGCGTCACCGAGTACATGGGAGTTTTAGGAAGTGACCGGCAATTAGTTTATTTTGATTTGTCCAATAGCAGGGTTTCCCAAAGGTTGTCATGTCACGGTCTCTCAGCGAGACACATGGTAGGAATGATTACAGTGGAATTAAGCAGTTTCACATAATTTTAGGGACCTTCTCGAACCTCGTTAAGGTCATTTATGCTGTTTTCTACTGCGCAGATGTGTTTTGATATCTTGCATGTTTGTTCCTTTTAATTGTACCGTTGTAACCTGCCCGCTGCACTGTACTTTGTTGGACATGCCCAACCCCATCCAAGTTTAAATTCATGCTTCTATAAAATACATATTTCCTTTTTTTACCATCGGGAACAACATGCATGAGTGGAGAGACGAAAAACAGATTTTTCTGGTTCTCGACTGTTCATAATTCAAAATAAAGGTCCATTGCTTTGTAAGTATTTTATTACAAGTGCCGTCATTATTTTAAACTGAGAAAAACAAATGTTCCTCAATAGAATTCATTATCTGTTTCACAAGTTTATGCTGAGGTTAAAGTATTTTAATTGCATTTTTTTTGCAACTGCTTCTGTGTTTTTTACTTTAATAGTCCTGTCATTACACATTTGTTCGTTTTGGTGAGCTCAACAACAATAAAATCGTATTTTATTCTATTGTTATACCTGTATTTAAAATCCTATCAATGCATTTGAAAGTGAGCGGGTTGTTTTGAATTGTTCTTGGTTGGTTTTGGATACGGTTCACAGATTCTGGCTTGAACTCAACCAAAAATTTAAACCAAACAAAAATGTTTATTCTTTTAAGGAGATAAACTGATTGAATGAATGGAGTCTGACCTTTTTACACCAGATTTGAGGGCCTGTACAGTCCAAGTAAACCAGACAACCTGCTTGTTGAACTATTTTAGGCTCCAGCTTTACCTTCAGGTAATATTTGTACAACTTTCATCTGTCAATTAACGGCACAGCCCTCACGTGACAGTCATGGCAGCATCTGTTTCCTCTCCAACAGCCAAACACTGGACTCCTGATCCCTAGTGAACCGTGTCACCATGCCAACTCCCACGATCCTCACAGCAACCAGGAGTCCTCTGAGAAGTTGCTAGGTTTACAACTGTGAGTCCACATAAAGAGGATCCCCTCCAGTGTTGAGAGAGAGAGAGAGAGAGACCAGGAGGCAGGTAGGGCTGCCTGAGAAAGAGAGGCATGGGGCACTGTGGTAGCAATATGGCACAATGAAGTACACTCTGTGTTTCACTGGGTTTTTTTCTGTTTCAGAGATGGTTTGCCAGTGTGGTGCCCTGCTGATTGTCACCTTACTGGTGAAGATGGGACTTGCGGGTGGATGTGCGTGTCCAGCAGCCACCATTTTGTCCCAGTTTCCCTCCGAGGTTCCTGCTGACGTCTGTTGCTTGAACTACTCTGGCTCCGCTTTCAGCCATGTGCGCTGGTCTGTGTTTACAAATGAGACAAATATAGACACAGTGGATCTCTCCTTCTGTAATATCAGTTCTGTTCACATGAGTGGCAAAGGCGTGTCTACACTGCAGAAGGTTTACTTAAGTCATAACAGACTAACAGCGTTGCCAAGGGACTTTCTGGCCAGCCAGCCCAGCCTGACGGAGGTGGATCTGAGCGGGAACCTGATTCAGGAGCTTCCTGATGGCTTCCTTCAGGACTCGTACAGCCTCCAGAAGCTGTATCTGCAGGGAAACCAGCTACGCTTCATCCCAGGCTCTCTGCTGCAGAAGCCCAGTCTGCAAACCCTGGAGCTGGATGGAAACCGTTGGGACTGCTCCTGTTTGTTGCTGCAAGGCCTGGAGGAAGGCAGGAAGGTCAACAGGACCACTAAGCTGCCAGATCTGGGGAACTTGACCTGCGCCTCTCCACGGCACCTGGCCGGCAGGACTGTGTTTTCGGTGAAGCTTAGTGACGTGTGCCGCCCAGCTGGCCTCACCGCACTCTTCATCGTGCTCCCTCTTGTCATCCTGTCCGCCTTGGTGCTCTGCTGGTGCTGTGGGAGGAAGAGGAAAGAAGCACCTGTGAGCACCTCAAAAAAGAGAGCTTCCAGCTGCAACGGCCAGAAGCATCGCAGCAAGCAGAAAGCTGCAGCCACTGAGCCGAAAAAAGCTGGAAACTGTGGCAACGAGGGGGTCCTGAAGAACCAGCTGCTGCTCCCAGCATCCACCCTCCTGGGCAGCACCAGGGACATCTATGAAGACGTGGAGATTAAGCTGGACTCGGTGGAGTCTCTTCCCCGAGCATCCTCGCACTGTTCCAGCTCCACAGAGGAGAAGCAGGGCCCCCAGGAGCCCGAACCGGCCGGCAACACGGACCTGGACTCGGTCAGCGTGACCGAGGTGATGAAAGACTCAGCTGACAGAGAGAAGGCTTACCTGACCCAGTCCACTGAATACTACAGCCTGGTGCCGGGTATCGAACTGGAGGACTCGGACCACGGCGAGTATGAGAACTTCAGCCTCTCGTGACTCCATGTGAGAGGAAACATTTTGGGAATTATGTTTTCGTTTTCTTAAAGAGAATCATATGAGAAGATCTGAATCGCTCACATGTTTGTATGTTAAAAGCCCTTAAAACCAAGACAGTTTCTTTCTTTCTGTTTCTTTATACATTGATATCTCCACGGTGGCTGAACAGATTTTTACCATTCAAACTTCATTTGTTTGCAATTTGAACTGTGTAGATGTCTCTTACAATGTTAGTTTATATCAAGAACATAGGACCCTGAGAACATAGGGATGACCCCAGAATGAGGATAGCTGTTTCTCTCTGCTTCCAGTCTTTTTGCTAAGCTAAGCTAAAAATAATCTTGGCTCCAGCTCTGTACTTAACTCACAAAGGAGTTGCATCAAATCTTCTCATCTAATACTCTTAAGTGTATGTCATCAAAATGCCAAGTGAATCCTTATAATGCACTAAAGAGAGACACTGTGTGTGTGTGTTACAGTAAAAGTTATCTATTGACACAGAGAGAGTGGTCCGACCACCGTGGTATCACAATGTAAGAGGAAGTGATTTAATGCGGAGCTTTTCCTGCGGGACCTGAGGAACGCAGCGATGGTTTGAAAGGGAGGCCCACTTTTTTTTTTAACTCTGGAAAAAACTAAGACATGTATTGTATTTAATGTTGCACTCCATGCTAATGTGCACTCCATATGGTTTTCACGTCTTAAACAAAGAAAAGGGCTTGTTTTTAAATGCTTGCTCATTCAAGTGAGCTTTTGGAAACTTTCCTTGACCTCACCCAAGTGTAATTATCATATGCATTCCTGTTTGACTTGTTACACATATTATACTGCATGCAGGATGTTCTGGGCCCGTCACAACCAGAAATGTAGGTGCTGCACAGTGACTAATCCCATTGTAATGCTTACAGTTCTTTCATTGTGAAGTGTGGAATGTAAAGCTTCGGTGAGAAGTCTAAATGTATAAATGTCATTGTCAAGCAAGAATGAAAGGCTTGTTTCACGTCGCATACTGAAATGTGCATATGTGTTGGAGAATATAAGGGCAGTCGGATGCAAATGCAGGTGGTTTAAGATCAAAATCTCTGCAGAGCATTTCTGTGCAGTGGTGATACACGACGTAATGACACTGGAGACACAAAAGACAAACACTGAACATCAGGGTTGTACGGCAGGATGTTATCTAAGATGTGGAAAACAGACGGACGTCTCACGCCAATGCTAATTGGTTTGTGAGACGGAGAGAGAGAGAGTGGGTGCAGCTATAAGATGTTTTTTCCAGAAGGTTTTTTTTTTTTTTTAAATGTATTTTCCGTCAAAGCTTTATTCACCATCATTGTGAAGATTACTGACAGATGACATGAGTGAATGTTGCATTTTGTACACAGAGAAATAACACAACATAGCTTTTGTTCACTGAGGTCGTGTCCTCTGTATTTTTTGTCTTTGTTTAATTTTAGGCAAAGAATGTTTTGGCAGCCTGTTGGTGACTTTATTTGTTCTAGTTCGCCTGGCAATCCGCACATAAGCAGTTAATAGGGGTAACTTTGGCAAATTTAAGGATTTATGGTTTCTAAACTATGATTAAGCTCTTAGACTCAATATATTTTAATTTGGCTACTTCTAGACCAGAAAATACGACATAAATAACACGTTCATCATTTGGATGGAGGTAGGAATGGATTTCATTCTGCTTTTTGCCTTCATGTTGGCAAATAAAATTTACAGAAAGTATATTTGATGACTAACTGACTAAATAAAATATGAAAAATCCAAATTTAGAGATCTGTTCTTGGTTTCTGGTCAAAACGTATACTGAGCGTGATGAGTCCCATCACCTCAGTATTTCTAAAATCCTGGTTACGGCCGTGATTGTGATTAAGTTTGAAGGGAAATTATATAAATCCTTATGGAGTGTTTGATGGTAAAACTAAATAACATATAGCAGCAGTAATAATCTTTCCCTGTTAAAAGAAAATGGGTATACTGGTCAGAAAAGCACTGATTTTCATCAATATGTTTATACTTGCAGATCTTGATTGTTTTTTTTGTAAGCAAAATTCATATTGTTTCAAGAAAAATAAATGCTATTTTCAAGATTTCTGCTTCAGGACTGTGAATGATGACGATGACAAACAATCACAAGAGAGGAAAAACAGTGTCATTAGCTTGCAGCATTCTTTGAGAGCGTGCTCCGGATCCTTTCATTCAGGCTCTTCTCCGTGGCCACTCAGCTCTTTCTGCCCCGACAATGACCCAGGTCGGCCCCAGCTACCCGAAGTCCCACTTTTCTGTTGAGCTCTGATTTCACTCACCGTGGGAAGTTGTAATTACCGCATTGGGTTACTCGATACAATCAGTCTGTCCTGTTCTCAGAGTCCACGACCAGTAGATCCAGTAGCTGAGGCAGAAAACAGTTGTTGGGTATATCCATGGATGCTGATCTGGGAGTTTATTTCAGCTACAGATCAAGATCACAGAGCAACCATTGAGTCGAGATTTACTCAGGATGGAGACGCAAACATAGAAGTGGCGAGTGCTTGTGAACTAATTAAAATGATATATTGTTGTGACACATTTACAGTGGTGGAAGAAGTACTTAGACCTGTAAAGGGAAAAGTAAAAGTTCTGCATTCAAATCTTACTTCAGTAAAAGCACAAAATAAATACCAAAAGTAAAAGTACTCATTATGAAGAATGGAATGATTTTTAAGTACAATATTGGCCTCCAGGCTGTAGTGAAGCAGCATGAAATGGAATACTTCAATAAAGTATAAGTATAAGTACCTCAGAATTGTATTTGTATATAGAACTTGATTAAAACTACTTGGCTTCTTTCCATCCCTTCATATTCAAGTATAAATAAGAATAAATATTACAGGAAATGAATGTAATGTGCTTCAGACAACTGAATTAAAATGTATACGT